TCAGTTATCCGAAAGAATTCCAGTCGGCAAATTTAAATTTTCGCTAGTGCTGTGGCGCTGCAATCTTTGGCTATATCTTGGGTTACTCCAATATTTTTTTTTTGGTGTGTGTGTTTTAGCTGGCAGCACTGGCACTTTTGTGTGGTGTTTTTCTGAAGACTGTGTGTCATGCTTGCTGAATCAAACGTTTTTGATACTAGATTAACTTCTAAAGTATAATTTTTTTTGTTTTTATATTTTTCAATATATTTATTTTGTTTGTAAAAAATAAAGAAATAATTTTTAACGATACAATAGCCACGATTATTATTTTAAAAAGTTTACGTAAGGCTTCGACGAAAATTCAACGCGAAGCGACACGCAACGGAGAAAAATTTCAGCATGGGATAGGTTAATATATTTTTTCGCACGTAATCGGTTATCCGAAAAATAAGTTATCCGAACACCCCAGTCCCCAATTGATTCGGATAAATGAGGCTCTACTGTATTATCATTGAAAATGAAAATTTTGCTACCTTGATGCAATAAACCCAATAATCTATATTTATGTTATCAAACACCATTATAAATCTATAATGTATAACAAGCTTGCCGTCAGCTTGTGTTAATACAAGCGCAGTACAATGTACTGTACAGTACATGTAATAAATTCTTTATTTCTACAACGAATTCAAATCAGTAACATCCCAGTTCTTGAATAAAAATAAAAAATGTTATATAATTGTTGTTGTTACTGTTGTTGCTTCGTGTCCTATTTTAATTATTAAGAGTTATCAAACCACAATTATTTATTGTGTGTTTGATGGTATTGATGAACCCGAAATTTACTGTAGAAATACATATACAATACATATTGTACAATACATATTGGTTCAACAAAGAAACCTCTTAGCAGAGACAGATTTACAAGTAAGCTATGTAAGCTGTAACTTGAGGTCTTAATTTATATTTACAACTCGAGTTAAGTATCAGTTTTATATATGTTTTGTGTATACTCGATCCGCTTTCCGTCTGAATTCTAGCCGTAGCGCTCTCAGCAAAAGTGTCTCTAGACAGAAAATTCTGCTCTGCTCCCAAACTAGATTATCTAACGATAGTTAGTAACCACACTATGTATAATTATATTGATTCGATTGTACAGGTGCATTGGGATTAAGAATCACTCACACACACTCATTCTCTCTCATACAGTTACAAACAATGGCTGCGTCAGAGAATCCATAGTATAGTTTCGAATTATTTTTATTCTCATATTAGTTGTTAGAAAATTATTTTAAAATGTGAAAAGACGACGAAAGACACTGTTGAGGAAAATTAAACAAAAATAATAATCGATGTGTATCTAAATATTGCTCTTAAAATTACGGAGTAAGTTATAATTTTTTCACCCTACAAATTGCTTGTTGGACAACCTTGGACTGTCATTTGGCACTTGAAAAAATTTTTCCAGTTTCATTTTTAAAGATGTCGTGGCTTTATTTCGATACTGATTAATACCTAGCGACTTTTTCAATCAGTTTGTCATATCTTTATACGGAGAAGGTTTTTTAAAAGTATTTCCAGTCGATAGATGACATATTTAAATGATAGCATGCGGTATCGATACTTCTTTCGATATCGATGTGAGTATCTGTATGGATATCCAGATGGGGTCGAAACGTTCCTATAGATGGAGAAATTAACGCCTAAGGCTAAATAAAAGAAAAAAGGATCTGAAGCCAGAGCCAGAAATTTTTAAAGAATATGTGACTCTTGCTTCTAGTCTTAAAAGGCATTATCTTCTTTAAAACGGTAGTTTTAAGATAGCATTCTCGGGATCGTTGCTTCGCGCTCACCTATCCGGATAACGAGATCATCCCAGATGATTGCAAATGGTGTTCGATTCTTTTCACTTTTCATATCTTACAAGTTCCACGTAACTTATAACACATTTGTAAACTTTAAAATTCTTTATCACATAATTTTATTCTACTGTATTTTCATTCTTATATCATTAGTAGCGGATGCAGAATAATCTAAAGTGGACTAACTGAAAAGTTTTAAATATTTGAGTAATTAATAAAGACCTTTTATAATAAAATTATACTGAATAATACAAAAAACTTTCTGTCTTCACAGTAAGCCGTTTGAAATCAAAAATAACACAATCTTCACTTACAGAGACGATCTTTTATTTGAGGATACGCCTGTGTAAGGCTGTATTTCTCAATGATGACCGAAACGGCAGTAAAAGGGAATATTTTTAACGCCAATCGGTAGCACTCTTGCAATTATTTGACACAATTAGAACAAAGAGGACAAACGAAAAGTCTCGTTTCGTTAAAATAATTTTTTTAAAAAATAAACTCAATCGATGAATTTAATGATTAAAAGAAATCCGATTTTGATAAGATGGCGACTTTTGGACTAGCGAGGACGGGGGTTATAGCCTACCTTAAATTTTGTAGATAATTCGAAATTCTTATGACGGAAATCACTCGAATCGACCAACGTTCGCTTTCTTTTCTCCAATCGTATCATTGGTAATTTTAATTTGTACGAGTTAACAACTTAAGTAACTGGATAAGAATAGAATGGAGTAAATTCGAATTTGCCATTTAAATTATTTCCGTCCGGTTTTAGTAGCGGTGATTTACTACAAGAGAAGGAAAAAGTATTCGACCGGAAGAAACAATACGGGTTACCAGTCTAGATTTTGGTATTATTTCATTCAAAATATGATAATTAAGAGTGAAAATTCGAAAGGTAAGAAACGAATTTCGTCACGCGCTCGTACGGTATTTGTTAATTAACCTATTTTCTTTCTGGATCCGACCGGTTCAACGTCCTCCGGTTTCGCACGTTTTAACCTTTCCGAGAATTATAAACCGGCGACTTTGTGGTTTATTTAGATGCCGATACGAAATATACCGCGAAATTGTCGGATGGAGTTTATAGCAAATCTACGTATTTCTCAATACTTTGTCTTTTGGAACTTCGTTGTCGATAAATACACGAAAACATTCGATCGATCTTTTACTTTTTTACTTTTACTCTTTTACTTTTTGAATATTTAAATAAAATATTTAAAATTGAAAATGATACGATCGATTGGGAACGTTAGAAAGTTACAAAGATAGAAATCGTAACGTTCGATCGTTGCCATTTACCCTGTGGAGATCGGACTCGTTTTCTTTTTATACATTTTCGTAATTAATTTTAGAATTTGATCTACGAATCGAGTTTGCCGGACTCGAACTTTGATTCGTACCTTCACTGGCTTTTACTTTTTTCAACAGAAATGGTTTTCGACAGAATCGCTTCGACGTTATCCACTTCCAATCTGATGACATTAGTAGCGATTACGTAACGGTCGCTATTGTAACCCCGAGAGAGAATTTGGTAAGGTAAGTTAGGGATAAATGGCTACAGTTTATTTACATTACCAAAACGTACCTATTTAAATGGAAAAAACAAACATTTAAAAATAGACTAAAGTCGTTTTAATACTTTCTTTCGCCAAACATTGCTTTTAGAACAGTAATCGAAAGAGATGGCCGAAGTACTTGTAAACAAAGGGAGCCAGTACCATACGCGAAAAGTTTAAAACTTTACTCACAATCGTCGTGTTTTTTCTGTAAAACGTTAAACCCACGTTGCAAACTACGGATTAGACTACAATACTATGCAAATCGTACGTGGTTTTTCTCAAACTGTAGCCGGTAAATATATTTTAAAATTTGTTTCTTATATTGGAAGATAACGAAGGACAACCGAAGTATCTTTTGAAATTTCTATTTTCTGACGTCCATAGTTTCATTGGTAAAACGACAAAATAACTCATTAATTTTTTTTTTTTTGACACGGTGACGATTCGGAAGACGAAACTCGTTTCCAATTTCGTTTAAGCTTCCGACAATTATATACTGTTGTACGTTTTCGAAATATATTTTAAATTTATATAATTGCCGAAGTATACGAAATTTTCACGCATTAAAAGTATTTCATAAACTATGGAATTAACTTTAATTAATTATAGAATTTCTTTATTTATTTTTAGTGCATTTAATCCAGAATACAGTATTCGGTATACATATTATCTGTACTACGTAATGCGTTGTAACATTCGTCGCAAACTTGTTTTTTTTTTCCTTTTCTTTTTTTAAATGTAACCACAAATAAAGTATTGCATTTTTTCTGACATTCTTCGATAAAGGCACTTCTAAAATAGAACTAATTATCTTAAAACTTTTACTGTATTACGCAAACTTTCTTTTTACGTGTCGTAATAAAAAACCATTTACTTTTTTCCTTTTTCAATTACACGCATTGGGTTACGGTATTAACACTAACCATAAATATTAATTTTCTACTTTATTTATTAAATAACGTTTTTTTGTAGGTGATTTTCTTAAAATATCTGTCAGTTCTGACTATTTATTTAAGTTTGGGTGTATTTTTGTATGGCGTTTTCAGAAAACAATAATTGTTCTAGAAAACGCATTTATTCCTTAAACGAAACCTTTCAAACGATTGTAAGTTACCTGGAGGAACAAACTCGTAGATCCTTTATTAGTATATTTAGTGGCAATATGTTCCATTAATGGGCGAATAATAAAAGAAACACCGAGGACCTAAATGAAAACTGGCAGTAAATTTATGTTAACTCGTTTTGAATTTCGTGATCCAGGTTACCAAGGTATGGCCTATCGATAGGCTATTATCGTTGTATATTTCGTGCATGGTAACCACCCCTTATCATTTTTTAAAGCTCCGAGCGTAATTTAAAGCAGCGATGCCAAAATCTTTCGCTTCTGACAAGATTACTTGCAATCTTTAGAATATAAAATTCAACTGGCGATACACTTTCGGAAGAACGATTTTAAGACATTTCTGTTTAAAAAATCCAGAATCGAATTGCTTATGTTTCCCGGCAGCGTTAGTTAGAGCCATGTGTTATTCTATTTTCTTTTTCAAATTTTTTCTATTTTTAATTATTATAAAATGGCGAAAGGTTTAATTTTGAGAATAGGGATGAATTTTGTAAGTTTTTAAATGCTAATAACCAGTAAAATCATCATTAAGTCCGACCCTACTACAGATACCCACCATCCCGTATATCTCTCCACTCTGTCGACCTTTAACCACTAAAATTTAATCACATCGATCTCCTTAATAAACAAGCCTTCTTGCAAAATTCCAAAAATTTTCGACAAGACGCGCAAGAGTTTTAAGCTTGAAACAGAGTGAAAACATCGTGCCCCCCACACACATACTAACATCCATACATATAGAGGGAAACCCGAAATTTTTTGCATTTCTAGACGTTTCAAGGTGTCCAGAGTTCAGAAATGTAAAAATCTTGAAGGGGGTCATTGTTTGACCGATGACCATACTTTTTCTCTGTTATATAGGCTATAACAGCCGGGAAAGTAAAAATCATTAAAAAACCGAACTGCAAAATGTTGAGTAAAAGTTAGATTTATTTATCATTTAAAATTTACAAAATATCATTTTTACGAAATCTTTTAAAGCGAATTTCCATCCAAGTAATTATCCCGCTCGATGTAACCATTTATTTCCTTTATTTCCGCCAACAATACGCGTTTCCGTAGTTTAACAGACAAATTGAGAAACGAACGTGGTCTGATCTGCGATTTATTCTTCGGTAACACAAAGACTCTTCTTCGTCCGGTCGAAAGACTACCGTCAACTTTCGTCGTACGAAAGAAATTAAAACTAGTACGGTTGACAGCACTCACGAGATCATCCGTTCGACGTGTCTAAGATCCTCTCGAAAAGAATAATCGTATGGTACTAAGATCCTCTCGTAATAATCGTATGGTACTAAGATCCTCTCGAAAAGAAGGAGAGACGAATGCAAACCTATCCACGTCCAAACGGAAGCAAAAAGTCAATTTGCATAATCCGAAGCTTAGAACGGCGCTTTACTCCGTAAATACCGGGTGACGACCAATGAGGCACGATCCCAATGGCAATTCGGATCCTTTGGTATTTGGTAACTGCTCAGCCGCGGTTCGGATACGAAATACAACTGTGGACGACGGCCGTGCGTTTGCCCAAAGACGATAAAAACACGGTTATGTGTGGTGATGGATGTGCGGGGCATTCACGACCGTCGAAACACTTAAAATATTGAAAATGCATCTCCTATTTGTGTAAAAGGCGCACAGCAGATCAAACTCCACCGTCATTTTCTGTCAGGAACGCGCCGATTAATTCGTGGACGGGAAAGTAATTTTCGGAATAATCGAGCCATTCGACCAGTCAGCAATTTCGCAATCCGCTTTCGAAAAATGCGTAAATCGAGTCGCCACCACAAAAACTCGTATTCGTTCGTCCTTCTTCTTCCAGGAGGTACCGCACTCAACGCGCCCCGGATACAATCGTTCTGTAGTGAAGAAGACCTCGACCGGATCCGGAAGAAGAATTCTTCCACTTTCCCGGGTAACTATTTTCTCTAACCACGCGCGTTTTCGTTCTAACCCCACTTCCTTCGGAAATTCAGCTTACTCCCTCCTGTGACTCGATCGCCATTTAATGCCCGGTGGCGCATCCTTCCATCGATTATATCTTAGAACCGCCGTAAAGGGGGTGGGGACGTCGAGGACCGAGTAAATCCCCGCTGTAGGGACGGTTTGTGCGAAAAAGAAACCGAGGATGGGAAGCAGTTGGAGGCCAAAAAAAGCGTGATTACGAAACGGGAGAACCCGGCCTACCCCGGAGGCCAAAAGAGCCGGAGGGAAGGCGCGTGGCGTAATTGGTGGCACAAGGGAAGGAGAGACGAATCTGGACCGAAACCGGGATGGTTCTTCGCTTTCGTCCGAAAAGAGCCGCGGGAGTCCGCGCCTATCTTTTTTTCGTAACCCTGACGTACGGGCGCCAACCTTCTCCTTTAGGGGGACGAGAAAGAAAGAGAGAAAACCGGACCGGCTCGCGCCAAGTTTCCGCTTCCGCTCCGGTTTCGGGCGGAGGACCAGTTTTTTGCCGGTGGACGAACGAGTTTGCCGCGGAGGGCGGGCCGTCCGATGCCGGCGCAGACGGGGGAAAGCGCCCGGCCCGACATGTCCTTCTCTTCTAACTCGTCGAGGTAAGTCCTTCCTTCCCCTCCGTAGATCGACCTTGGCTCCTCGTGCGCCCGGTCCGTCCACCGCTTTCACCCGGCAAACGGAAACAGAAACCCAAACGACTCTCGTTTCGTTTCTACATACCAAAAAGAAATAGGGCGAGCGACGCAATCCACAAACGCGTCTTGGACCGGGATTTTTGACAAAACCGTCGGCCGAATGCCAAAAATTTTTCATTTTTGTAATAATCGGAATTATTAATTAAAGAACTTTTGCTTTTCGTTAAACTTTTTCGTGTCTTCGGATGCATTTGTCAAGAATTTAATCTCCGTGTGAGAGATCGGAAGTATTAAAAATTATTTGGGCAATATTCTGTTGCAGACGAAAGATCTTTATGATTTTCGCCCGGGACTTTCTTGGTGCCGTCGGCAATTCCCACCTCTACCAAGATGGCGTCGAATCCCGATGCGTCATTTCTCCGGATTTTCGTTTACGATATTTATTCGGAAAAGCATTCTCGGGCGCTCCTGGAAAGCGACGCCGCGTACTTTACACCCGACCAGTTCGTTCACTCCTAGTTTCTTCTTTCGACGAACGGAAAAACGGCGGCTAGAGTGCATCGACTCCGTCTTCCGTTCGGTCGTGGTTTCGCAACGTTTTCCGTATAATTAATTAAAGAGAGAAACGATAGCCAAACCGATATTTCCGAGCCCGGGATAAATTCGGTGGGGGTTTTAAGATGTTTCTCGTGGACAGGAAGTGCGTCAGGATGGCCAATCCGGTGGAGATCGCCCCCATCGCGCCCTCCCGAGATGGGAAGAGGGAACCCACTTTCCGCGCGGGATCTTCCGTCGGAACCTTTGACAGGTAAGCAAAAAAGGAGGAGTTTCCTCTTCTCGCGGCTGACCAAAAGCCTTTGGCAGGAAAGAGTGGGAGGCCATCTACAGTATTCGAGAAACCAACCGAGATTCCAGGAGCTTCCAGGAGAAAGTGTATGACTTCGTCGATCGGCCCAAGGGATGCCGAGCCTTCGCTTATCACTTCCTGGTGTGAGTAAGTTCGAACGTCGACCTTCCTTTCTTCTTCCGGCTGACCCCGCTCTTTTCCCTCAGGTTCTTTCTGGTGTTGATCTGCTATCTGTTCGGGGTGTTGTCTACCGTTCCCGAATACTCGGAGTCGGCGGAGAGCGTCCTCTATTACCTGGTGAGTGTGTTCGGCGGGTGGGTTCCCTTCGGCCTAATTCCATTCTGGTTCTCTGCAGGAGAGGACGGTGGTATCCATCTTCGGAGCCGAATTCTTACTGAGGTTGTGGGCGGCCGGATGCCGCGGAAAATACCGAGGAATCAGGGGAAGGTTACGATACTGCGCTCGAGCTCTGTCCATTATAGGTAATAGATCGGTACCCGGCAAATTTCTGCTGGGGATCTCCTAAACTCGTCCGTTTCCGTTCTCGACAGATTTGCTAATTATCCTGCTGTCGGTCATCTTCTTTACCGTTCCTTTCGGAGGTCAGATAGTCGCCACTTCCGCCGTCAGGTAAGCTCTTCTTCCTTTTCTCCATTCTTAGCGTCGGTCCGAGTGTCGAAATACGAACAAACGTTTCTACAATAAATTCGAATAAATACATATTCAAATCTATTGTACCGATAGACTTTAGTCTAACTGTTGATCAAAGTGTAAAATCTGTTTCTCCGACGAGTAAAACAGCTTTTTGTATCGTCGAAATTGCCATTCAGAAATTAAATTTCATTTATTTAATTTTAACGTAAGACGATTAAGATCGACCGATGATCGATCTTAATCGTCAAGCATGGACAGTATGCCCCGTGTGCCTGCAGGCGATATAATTTAGTACGGACTGAGATTTTCTAGTTGGTAGTTCGCCGTATAAAGTCTACCGACCGATTGCCAGTTATAAGTTTAAAGCAACCTCACGATCATTAAACATGATTTTTTGCAAATATGTACTGTACAACTCGGCAAGGCCAATGTTGTGATGAAGCCGGAATTTCAAAATTTCATCTACCAGCTTAGTGATTTAAGAAGAATTCGCCACGTAAACTCTACGGGCCGATTCTCCGTTGCCAGTTTAAAGCAATAGCAGACCACTAAAGGCGAGTTTTTACAAATACAATCTATTCCGAAACAACAGAGCGAGCCACTGTGCAATAATGACATTAATAAACGAATAAGAAGCACATTGCGGAACTGATTCCCACGCGGACACAAAGCATTTTAATATCAATTCTGGATGAATATATTTCTTCGTAATTAACATGTAATCGATCGCCCTTTGGCACAATCGGTCTAACTGGCTCCCAATTTCCTGTCATTTTTCCACGTCAACGGTTATTTCTTTGAAAAAAGCATTACAAAACAATAAATGGAAATTAATTATTGATTTATTTTGATACGGTATAATAATAATCATTTCATCAAAAAATAGTAATAAAATAAAAATATAAATGAATTTTAACAATGTTGAATAAGATATACTTGTACCAAAATGATAGAGGCGTGTCTATTCCGGCAGTTAAATTTGTAATTATGGTAATAAGCAAAAATTACAACAGAATAGTATATAACATAGGACAGTAGTATATTAGGAGTGAATTTTTACAAAATACAGTTCTGGAATATATGATAAATTAAAGGTTTTATTATGGGACGAGGAAAATCGTGCTCGTCGTGTCATGGCAGATTACATCGATTCTAGTGGAGATTATAGAACAAAAAGTCATCTGGAATACTCTCTGTACTGAATTTTCGTAAAAATACTACTTTGAAGGAAGCGTAGCAATTTTACAATGCGTCAGAGACAAATTACATCTCTTCTGTATAATAAATAAACGTGTCAAAATCAACAGTATACAGTTTTTATGTTATGAAGCTTCTGTATTAATAATATAAAAGCCGTCGTGTGTGTATATGTTTGTGCGAATTTCTTATAACTCCTGCAAACTTTGCCCAATCCAGATGAAATTATCCAATCGGAAGTAACGATTTAACCAGCCCGTTATTTAGAAAGTGTTGTCGCTCATCTAATAACGTACTGTAGAATACGGTACGTTAGTTATAACATACTGTATTCTACAGTATATACAATTCATCTTTGTTTTATTAACGTGAAATTTAAAAAACTAAGTATTTTTTCAAAAATAAAAAAAATGCCTAGGAGAAAGCGTAAGAGTAAAATTGGTCAACAGATAAACTTCAAATTTGTCAGTGAATTTACGCAGCGAAAAAAAAAGGAAACTATTAAAGGGATATAAGAGGACGATTTGGTAACGGAACAGAATTTCGCTGGTAAATATTATTTTAAAAAACATTCCGTTACCGCTTTGAATTTGATGAGAGAGAGAATTCCAAGTTTAAATTAGGTAAATATGTGAAAATTTAAATATTTTCCTATTCCAGATACATCTGAAACTTACCGGTTAGCACTTATTCGAAATTTAAAAAATAGGAAGTGAGAGGAGATGATTCGACAATATTTCTATTGGATAGATCTACTGCACGTTCGAAACACGTTACGAATATTTTAGACAAATAACCAAAGCGCCTTAGCAATTTCCAGGCGTTTTCCCTTAAAACCACGGCGAGAAATGAAATTCATATTTTTAGGACGTGGATAATCGTTCGACGTCACCGAGAAAATTACCAAAAATTGTAAAAGGTTCCGGGAGTTGGCCAACGTTTAATCGGGAAAGTCGGAGAGAGCGAAGGTTGGAGAATATCGAATGGAAGGTGATTCAGGTGGATGTTAGAGAAACTTTTCCCCAACTTTAAGCGGAACTGCCACAGGAAAACGACCGAATACATTTATAACTTATTTATAAATAGCAAATTTAATGGGATGATGTATTTAATATTTAGTTAAAGAGAGAATGATCGGGCACTTTAAGCGGTTACCACTTTCCCGAAAAACGTGTCGACGCATCGATTCTCATAAAAAGACCTCCATCGTGGGAAAACGATACTCGGTAATGGCGGACGGGAAAGACGTTAATCTTACTCTTAGCGTAATTTGCAAAACTATTTTTACTCAGATAAAATTAGTTAAAAGCCTAACCGCCAGAATAGAAATATCCGGAAAAGTTTCGTAATTCCACGACGCCGGCTTTTATTTTTTACTGGAATGTTCCCGTCCTTCCTTGTCTCCCGATTAAATAAGTTGTACGAGAATTAAATCTGAACCGAGTCAAAGTCTTCTCGGATGGCTTTTTAATCCCGACAAAATACGGAGCCATAAACGCGATAAGTACAAAATAGGCCGACATTTCTTATGATATTATTTGTGAATTAATTATAATTCTCGATTAATAACAACACAGAATATGTTACAACCAGAAAATAATATTTCATTTGTACATCAACTGTTCGCCTCTTTCCTAGATTTTCTAAAGCAATTTATTACGTTGCCTAGAAATATAGAGAACTTCTAAACGTTGCCACTGATTTCATGTAAAATATGAACCACTGCCCCACAGAGGACGAGTAGGAAAATAGCACGTGTTTATCGGAGCCATGCTGCTACACCGCCGAGTTAGGGAGAGCAAAGGTCTGACTCTTACGTAAAAAAGGCATCTTTAAGTTGGACGGAATGGCGGAATTGTCGAAGAGAACCACTGTCGAATTTTGTTACGGAAAGAAAAACGCACGGACCGCGGTACTATCCATTCCAGAAATTTTCGGAAGAGTGCCACTTGCCGTCAAAATTTGTAACTAATTTCTAGGCTGCAGAGCTCGAAACTAAGGGTGAGACCATGCAGTAGCGAGCGAGAGGTTGCGAGCGATATAGTTCTCTCAAAGAAAAACATGAACAAGAGAGAAGTGAGAAATCTCGCTGGCGTGAGCGAATTTTCGGTTCTCACACATATCTGACAGGGTTTGTCGCGTCTCGCCTCTTCTCGCCACATATTCTCCCTCGCTCGCGTCTTCATAGTCGCACCCTAACGTCAATCATTTCATTCCTTGATCCATTTCGCCTCAACTATTCTATTTGATATTCCGGAACGGAATATTCTAATTAAAATATCCGTCTCCACGTATAAATGCCAAGTACGAATTTACACAACTCTCCCGTAATTTCTGTACTTTTTCTTTTCAGAGGTTTTCGTTTCGTCCAGATCCTACGAATGTTGCACGTGGACAGACAGGGAGGGACCTGGCATCTGCTTAAATCCGTCATCTACTCTCATAGACAGGTAAATACGATCCGAGAACACTCCTGCCACTAGTTCCCGCCATCGAACAACTTTTTATGTTTTTTGTTTTCTCATTTTCGTGTAGGAATTGATGACCACGGTTTACGTAGGCATGCTGGGCCTGACCGTTTCTTCTTATTTGCTGTATCTGGTAGAGAAGGATTCCCACCCCGACCGATCTTTTCAGACCTACGCCGATTCTCTGTGGTGGAGCCTGGTAAGATTTGCGGGGGGAGGGACTCAATCTCTCTCGCTCATCGTCTCGTTCTCGCAGATCACCATGACCACCATCGGGTACGGAGACAAAGTGCCCTCTACCACCGCCGGCAAGATCTTGGCCGCCATCTGCGCCCTCTTTACTGTTTCTTTCTTCGCCCTTCCGGCGGTAAGTATTTCTTCCGTCGTGCGAAAGTTCCGCAGGAGCGTGGGTAAGACTCGTACCTTTCTTTTTCTACAGATCTTGTCTGGTTCGGGAAACGGCTTTTTCCTTTCACTTCCGGCTTACAATCTTAAATATAGTCTCGTCTCTTCTTCACACTTTCCTCTCAGACTCTTCCCGCCGATTCAAACCCTCTCCAATCGCTTCCGGTGTCTTTGCAGGGTATCTTGGGATCCGGATTTGCCCTGAAAGTGCAGCAGCAGCAGAAACGAAAGCGTTTCAGTCGTCAGATTCCTGCCGCCGCCACTCTCATTCAGGTAAGACACCGTCTTCTATTCGGGCGAAAGCGGAGGCTGGCCCGTGCTCCTCGCCCCCATGTCTGCGCCATGTCCATGTCTGCACCCATGTCCGCGTGTGCGCATCCCCTTCCCACGCGAAGGGGATGCGCACACGTGAGAAAAAACGCTACATTGGCCGTATCCATCGTCCTCTCGCTATCGATACTTGCAACCGTCATTAGTAAAGGCCGGTATTGCTACCCGTCTATCCTCCTTTCGTATACTATCTTTATACACTTCGTACATCTTTGTTTATCAAAAACGTCAGTTGGTTATCCAATGGAATTAAGGGGCCGTCTATAAATTACGTAAGGGCGATTTCGGCCATTCTAGACCCCACCCACCCGTGTATTTTCCGTAATATTTTCTTTGATTTCCTCTCCCCTTCCCTATCTTACGTAATATTTAGGCATGATTTTTTTAGAAAGGTTTTAACAAAAAATATTTTTTTATGAAACCTAAAAACGTTAGGTCCAAAATATATAATTATTAATTAATTAATTAATATGTAGTAATATTTATAAAAGACTTTATATCAGTGTTTCTCAACCTCTAACGAATCATCGCCCCTTTCAACGTAGTATCGCCCCCTTCACTTCAAAATTCCGATGCCGAGGACCAAGACTAACGCCAAATTCGTATTGCATTGAATAGACTAGTGACTAGTATAATGTTATTTGTTTAATTATTGTACGATATAACGAATAAAATATCTAATTATTCTTAATATAATGTTTTACTATATCGCCCAGAAAATTGTTTTTCGCCCCCCAAAATATAAATTGTTACTAATCGCCCCCTCAACATGGAAAAACGCCCACATAGAGGCGATTTCACCCCCGATGAGAATCACTGCTTTATATGAACAAATTTGAAAATATAATTTGATGAATTCGGATAAACAATTTATTTTAAGAACTTTATTTTTTAATTATTAACAATTTTTTTTATTATTATCATCATTAATCTACGTCATAATATTCATTTTTATATTAATTTTAATTTTCACAAAAGGACGCAAAAAACTGACAGATCGACTAGCTAGTGAATGTGTAAACAGAAACGTCATACAAAATAAAACAAGAGAGAATAGAAACCATATTCCATTGCCATATTAATTATATTTTGGATAAGATCAATAAAATAAACTACATGCTGCTAAAATGTGCTAGGTACACCTGAGGACTAAATCATAAAGCTTGTAAAACTATATAATGGGGCAATACAACCAATGCTACTTTACGCGGCCTCTAGCTGGGGTTATGTAACTAGTAAAAATTCAGTAGCAAGTAAATCTCTCTTCAAAGCCAGTTTGCCATCAGAATTTCACTCTCTCACACTGTAGCAGCCTTTAAAATTACATTCATGACAACGCTATGCAAAAGTGGAATCAACAATGGTTGAACAGTAAAACTGGTAGAATAACAAGACTTTATTTTCCTAGTCTTGAATGCAGGATCTCATCACCACTTAGTGATTTAACATTTGCTACTGCTCAACTACTTATTGAGCATGATAATTTTAGAAGCTACCTGGCGATGTATAACCGGGCAAAAACTGCTTCTTGCTTTTACTCTACAGAAAACCAAGACACCGTCGACCGTATGATCTATCATTGTCCTATTTACGATCAACATACACTTATTCTGAAATTAGAAATATTTACGTTTGGTTTCAGGTTGCCATGCCCACTCGATAAGCTTGTTCAGAAGCCACTGTTTGATGCTTTTTACAATTATGTTCAAAAAACATGAAAGAAAAGACTATTTATAATTTCTAATATCTAGTTTTACATTTTAGTTTTCACTAAAAGCTGAATACTAATTTTATTGAATCAAGGTTGCTTGTTGTTCTCTATTATATGTGTTTGGTTAGCACAATGTTGCTGTTGAGAACGTATCATACAGGAACACTTTAAGAGGAAAAAGGTTGCTTTATTGACTTGGACGGATATGCATTTCGTGCTTAATGCTCCTCTTCAGTCCTATTATTATTACATAATTATCAAATTGGTTACAGGTATCAAAATTTACAGAATTCATTTTGAAAAAATTAGTATACGCGTACAGTGATTTATATGATAAAATACAATTACCTGAGATAGTGACCATTAAGCTGGTATTACACATAAGAAATATATACACATATTTAAACACGGGAGGAGGAATGAGCAAATAGTGCTACCAGATCAATATACATGCACCTGAGGATAGTATAATGTGTGTTAAAATAAAAAGTGGTACTTATGTGTAAGTCTTATGTGTAATACCAGCTTAATGGTCACTATCTCAGGTAATTGTATTTTATCATATAAATCACTGTACGCGTATACTAATTTTTTAAATGAATTCTGTAAATTTTGATACCTGTAACCAATTTGATAATTATGTAATAATAATAGGACTGAAGAGGGGCATTAAGCCTGAAATGCATATTTGTCCAAGTTAATAAAGCAACCTTTTTCCTCTTAAAGTGTTCCTGTATGATACGTTCTCAACAGCAACATTGTGCTAACCAAACACATACTAATTTTATGTTTACTTTGTATCGTGTGTTTTGGTTTATGTATTCTTAGTGTTATACGCCCATAGGAGTGGTGCACTCATTCTAATAAAGAGAGAGAGAGAAACCACCACATGGCTTTCTCCCATGAAAAAAACGTATAGAGCAGGAGTGTGCTAGCGTTATTATTTTATCATCACACGAGATGGCTTCAGTACAACGAGCGTTCTTAATAGAAACGGCCAAATTTAAACCAAATTTAAAACTCCGCCATTCAACGAGATCAAAAAATAAGAATACTGTATTACGTAAGACAAGATCTATTACCCCTTACTCCTGAGTAAGAAATCGTAAGAAATCCTTGACTCCCACCCACCCCAAAATACCTTACGTAATTTATGGACGGCCCCAGGCCTACATTCTCCTGTTTTGAGCACGTGGTTCGCGTATGCGCCAGCTGGCAGTATCGTCGAATGACCATCTTCGTAGGTGGTACGATTGGCCGCTTTGTCCGCGTAAAACGTAGGACACCGGACGACTCGGACATGGCAGGGCCGGAGTTTTTACTGCAATATTTACGTCACGCGCGCAGTAAAAAAAAAATGTCACTCGCCGCGCGTACGACCGCTCTTGCGCGGCGGCTTTTCTTTTTCCCCAACCGCATTAGCCTTTAACCAAAGGAGAACTTTTGTACGTAGTGGACGTGGAGATGCTACGCCACCGGACGTCACTTCCGCTCCGTGGCCTGCTGGAGGCTGCCCAGAAAAATGGTAAGAAGGGGGAAGGGAAGAAAGGAAACGGATTTCTTCACCGGCTGCATCTTTACAGGCGAAGGAAGGATCGATCTCGGGGAAGAGCCTGGGTTCGGACGCTCGGACAGAAGACACCTTCTCGTTGGTCGACTTCTCTCGCTACTCCGAGAAAAAGAAATTCGGTAAGTCTGGGGTTGGCGGCGGCTCACTGACTCCGATGGCGTCTGTTTTTTTCTCTCAGAGCTAAAACACAAAATTAGTTTTAATAAACTTTCCTTAATAATCCGCGTTCCTAACCCCATCCTCACTTGGTTTGTATCGCTAATAATTAGAACGCTAGCGGCTCCTCTGGAGACCGTCTTCCCTTCGGTCTGGTCCAAACTAGGACCTAGTAACTGCCATCTCTTTTACCTCTTTTCTCTCTATAACAAATCGATTTTGATAGGATGGACTAAGCAACGCGTCGTATTCGTTATTAAACCGTGGTGAGAAAAATCCCGAATTTGTAGGGGTACGTTCTACGCGGCAGTGTCCGGCCACCGAGTGGGGCGGTCAAATACCAGCCAACGTCAGAGGTATTCGCGTTTAACGTGAGGCGGTGGCCTCACGTTAAACGCGAATACCGATTAATTTTGATGGCCGCTTCCACTGCTGGCGTTAAAAAGAGAAAAGCTGGATCGTCTTTTATTTCACCATACAAATGGTAAATTCGCCCAACTCACTACATTTATAGTACTAGAATGTTCGCTAATGCCATGTAAAAAATCATTTTCTGTGGCAAGCATTGAAACGAGTTGCCTGGCCGCCATTTCGTAAACGTCGCGCATCCACTCCTAATGGAGGTGGCTAGCCAGCTGGAAACGTCTGCGAAAATTCTTTCCGCTGGTGGTCTCGGGACGCTGCTACGTAAGACGTAGCCTAAGACGCAATTTCCATCATTTTTTAAAAAGTGATTCGGTGCCGATTCGGAAAAAATTCTGGCTGTTTTTCGCCGACAGTTTTAACAATAAAAAATACGTCATCCCCAACCAACTGGGGATGACGTATTACTGGGGGCCACGCATTTTGCGCCGCGTACCGACAGAATAACCATTCTTCGTTTGGCGAAAATTTGTCTGTTAAAATATCTTTTTGGAGAAAAATTCTGCACGTTCTTCCTACTCCACCCATTGGGATACGCGCGCTTACGAGTAGGTAATTGGCTGCAGATGACTTTCACATTATTACCTGTCTCGCTCTGTACTGTAGAATCGCGTAATTGCGCTACTCGTACTGTACATACTGTGAATCTCACAGAAATTACTAACGTGTTGCTTAATTTTCCCGGCGACATTTGGTAGCGCCATCTTTTACGATATTTCACTTTTAAAAGTTTTTATAGATTAACTATTATAAAATGGTTTTAGCCATTTTATAATAGCTTAATTTTGACAGCGAAGATGGGTTTTATAAAAAAAATTGTAAATGCTAATAATCAGTAAAATCGTAATTAAGTCCCACGCTACTGGAGATACACACCACTCCCATTATCTCCCCATCCCCTCGACTTATAACCTCCAAAATTTACCAGTATTACTCCGTAATAAACAAACCTCCCTGCAAAATTTGAGAAATTTTCGACTAAAAGCACGGGGGTTATAAGCTTCAAAAAGGGTGAACAAAATCGTGCCTCCACGCAAACTTCTATACATATAGAATTTACCCCCGAATTTTTTTCATTTCTCGACGTTTTGGACTTGGGGCACCTCGAAAAGGTGCCCCGAGTCCAAAAATGTAAAAATCTTGAGGGGGTCATTTTCTGATCGATGACCATACTTTCCCTCTGTTATTGGCTATAAAATAACCGGAAAAATAAAAACTGGCTTACGCATATTTATTATAATCTAAAATATATGTACGTATGAAATTAGTATATTATAACTATGAGGGTCATTATGTACAGTACAACGCGCATTTCCATTATAATTAAACGTAGATTATTATCCACGGAAACGGAGTCATTTATTTTGGAGCGTCAAAATTATGGAAATTATTTGAAAGGTTTAAAAAAAATGTCTTCCTTCTCATCAAAATTTATTTACGCCAGAAAAATTTTTTTTCGTAGTTTTTATTAATCGATTGCATTAATTTACGACAGACAGAAGCTCCTTTACGTAACGAGGCGGAATATTTAAATAGGAACAAAGTTTAATATTTTAAAAACGAAGACTTCGTATTTCAATAGCAAGGAATAAAACAGATATTTGCCAATTCAATTAAATCTGACCTAATCCCGTTCAAATTCTGGGCTTAAAACTCTCGATAATCCGTACCGTTTTAAATAACGAACGGAAATTTCCGAATCCAAGAGCAATTATACTAACGTTTTGCAAACCGAAAAATTCTTTCGACACTTTGTTTTTTAATCGACGCGTTAAAAATCGTCGGCCAAGATTATTTCAATATTTCATAAGAGGCGAGAACGTGTCCGGTAACCGGTTTTACCACCAACTTTAATTCGTTTTACCGGGCGCGCCACTTAAATAGAATCGGAATCTGCAATCCTTTTTCCCGCTGCTTAAGTATTTCTAGTTTTATTACTCTAACGCAGCGCTGTCCAACTTATCATAGTCCGCGGGCCATATTTTCTTTATCAAACATTTCGGGGGGCCAAGAAGGTTGATAAACCACACGACATTTGCATAGTGCTACGGTTCAGTAAGCACTAATTGGTCAGCGAGTCCGATGTTGACGCTATAAAAAGGCGACAATTCGACACACCGGATATACGTCACTCTCGTCTAAGTTCGACTTGGGAATTTTTTTGTTCAATAATAAATGTGAATTCTTCTTCCTGGAAAAAATAAGACATTCCCTGAAAATAAGACCTAGCGCATTTTTCAGAGCAAAATTAATATAATACACTCTTATTTTCGGAAAAACACGGTAGTAAAATAATTTTAATATTAATAATAATAATTTAGTAACAAATCTATTCATAGTAAAATGTACTCGAGGGCCGTAAAAATTATTTGGCGGGCCGTATACGGCCCGCGGGCCGCCAGTTGGACAGCGCTGCTCTAACGAATTCCTTGGTTTTAATTTTGTGAAAGCAGCCCAATGGGACAGTGCTCAAAGGTAATTCTTCTTTCAGACGCTGCTCGTTCTCCCTCCACCGAAGACGAGTTGTGGGAGGCGTCCGGAAGATCTTTTTCCTCCGACCCGTGGATCTCTATCGACGGATTCCCCCACAGCGACAGTGCCCCCGAATTGAGGACGGCAGACGGAGATAACCACCCCCCACCGGAGGCGGGAGGTGAGCGGAGGGAAACGTTTCCCACTCTCCGCTCTCCCCCCGCCACTGACGGTTCCTTTGGCAGGTCGAGGAGCCGTCTTCTCCGACTACGAGTTCACTGTCGATTCCAACTTCTTCTACTCTTCCGCCTGCCGGGAAGAACTGGCGGCCTTCGGACACTGGCTGTCGCTGCGCGGATCGTAAGTGGGTCGGGTGCGTGGCCGCCCTCCTCGACTCTCACTCACCAACCCACTTCTTTGCAGATTGACAGAAGCGCAGAGAAACGCCATCCGCGCCATCGCCAGGATGAAGTATTACGTCGCCCTCAAGAAGTTCCAGGTGAGTCATTTAGTCTTACGTTGGCAAAGGCACCGGGAACCGTCTCAGACGGTTATCGGATCCAATTCGCCGTTAGTGGCACCAAAATTCGTAGCAAAAAAGCGCCGCTTTCTACGTTCGACAAGTGGAAATTATGCGAGTAAAGGAAGAAGGCACCCGAAAAACATCGACCGGCAAACACAAGATATGTTTTTATTAATACGAGACGAGGGAAACAATTCTAGTAATCTGTCTTAAACGTTATTAAACTATAATTAAAATGACTTATCATTTTATCCACGTACCGTACCATTGCTTTGACTAACGAGTAAACCATTAAATGAGCACATTCATTATAATCTTTGCTTAATTAATTCATACACAATCGCACGACTAGAATATCGTGTCAGTATACAGTGGCGCATCCAGAGGGGAGCCGAAGGGCTCTGGCACCCTCCACAGTAAAAGGAAAACACTAGTAAATTTTACAAAAGTTTTTCTTAATATAAATAAAAACTGAATTTTTAATTATGTCGTCTTCTATCTATATAAATCAGAATGTTTGTTTGCTATACACTCCTAGGCCATTCGACCAAATGTTACGAAACGCGGTAGTTACGCTAACATACTGACTTAATGTCGTACACCCCACCCAAAATATTGATCGTAACATATTTAAACAATACTATAGCTTCATCTAAAACAATTGATTGCAACGATTCAGAGTATTGTTAGAATTTTTTTAATAATACTATAAACTATAATCTATACCTATAAATGAGAATATTTGTTTATTATACGCCCCATATTATTACTTTGATGAGTAGCACATATCACTCACCAGCGTGGAGTCGAAATTTTTCCACTGTTGTTATTCGTGGGTTCGAACATCGCCAACTGGCTGGCCATGTAGTTTTCCGGGTTTTCTTCTTAGTAACACCAAAGTACGGCCAGTTTTCCATAAAACTACTCTCGGCAGGCTTGCCCCTCGGCAGAACGCCCACATGTCACGTTGTCGTAACAAAATACACCAAACTAATTGTAATAAATTATCTATAAACCTGCTATTTACGGGAACACACTTCCACGTAGTTTACGGACATTCTGATAATTATCTTAACATGGGTTTTATCACATACTGTACTTTTTTTTAAATTTACGATTAATAACGCCGGGTATAACAATTACTGAGAAAAATACAGTACTTTATAAACCCGGGCGTAACAGCGGTCACATAATGCAAATTGAATAAAATTTTATCTTAAAAATTTTATCATCCGTTCAACTCGGCTCCCCCAAAATTAAATCCCGAGACGCCAATGTCAGTATATGTTAAACTGTATTAAGCCACCAGAGGCCAAGCGATTCCGTTCTTGAACACGGAGTTCGGTCGTGGGTTGGCGCCTGGCCCGGAAGGGCTGGCCACGTGAAGTTTTCCAGGTTTTCTCCACGTCCGTAACGGCTGAATAGGGGGCAAGTTACCCTTAAAAAGATCTCCCGGAAGACATTATTCCGGGAGGTCTTTTTAAGGGTAACCATCATAAACGCATACTACTACTATTACAAGAAAATTACGTCATACTTTAACACGTGGCAATACAGCCTAGATGTTCATGCCCAACTATCCGACACAAGACAAGCTACTGTATTAAATTCTGATCATGTCACTATCGATAACAAGTTCATCATCCAAACCAAACCAAAAGGTTGTAAGTTATTTCTTATTGATTACTAACTAGTTTATTAAATGCTAAGGTCATACAAGAAATTTTAAATAGTTCATCACCTGTAGACTACCGTCTTTATAATAAATATTCCAATTTATCGCGGCCGATATTGCAACGTGAGAAAATGTGCCGTCCACGCAGCTTTGTCGTTCGCGTGGAAAAGCTGGGCTTTCGAATTCCGTTACGTTCAATTTTACGTAACTGAATATTGCAGGAGGCCAGACGTCCTTTCGACGTGTCCGACGTCATCGAACAGTACAGTCAGGGATACATAAATATGACCACCAGAATCAAAGAGATCCAGAGGAGGTTAGATAACACCTTAGGAAGACCTTACTACCCAAATTCCAAGCTGAGAAAACCCGTCACTCTCGGAAAGCAGCTGAGGACGTTAAAAGAACAGGTAAATTTCGCAAGTTCTAACAACTCTTACATTATTTCGGACGACGACTGCTATTCGTTTCGGTATTCCATCGTACGTTTAATAAACAAATAGTTTAACTTTCCTTCTTACCTTAACAATTTATTTCTATTTCTATTTATTAGTCGAATTTTATCACCAGTAACGGAGTAATAAATTAATTTTAATCCGGCCTGCAATATTGAATTGGATCGTGATTTTATCTTCCTTTTTCCCCCATGTTTGCAGATGATAGGCATCGAGAATAAAATGGATTCCATAGAAAAGAAGCTCGATGTCTTTCTATCGACGACGAGTACTAACTTAAGCAAAAAACTTGCAAGAAATTCTACCAACGGACAGACGACGGAAGATAGTAGTTAAAATTGCAAAGTTTATTACCAGTTTATAGAATATGGTTAATCATTTTGTTATAAGTCCGTAAAATAAATATACAATAAAAATAAAATTTGGCAGTAAAGGCACGCTGTGGTCTCACATTCTTGGAAGATTCAGCTGAGGTGCTTATATTTGGTGAACAAATTATATAAAACTCTCAGTGTCGATTTCAGATCCAAATTGACCAGATCTAATCGGATAAAATATCAGATACAAATTACGAATTATAAAGACTACTACTACAAAAGCCACGACAATTAATTACCTTCCGGTCTGGCTTTAGGTTTTTCCAGTCCCGCATCCATCATCAGTTCGAAGGCAAAAGTGACGTTGTGGACTTTCTGGTCGAAGCTGGTCGGTGTCAGATTAAAGGAAAACAGAGGTACAAAATATCCCTCTAGCAATCCCATAAGTAGGGTCAGATACACTCCGTCGTGAAACTAAAAATGTAGTTATTAATACGAACTATTTGAAAAGATTTAGAGAGAGAGAGAGAGAGAGAGTAACCTACTTACTTGGGTATCTAAATCTGTCACTTCTAGATTGATCCTATTAAGATGCTTATTGACAAAAGACACCAAAGACTGTAAAATTAATTCATCTTTATGAAAAATAACAATATTGAATATACTGTAGACGACATATAATTGCTAATACATATCAGAAAGAGAAACGTTAAAGTGGTATTGTATTAATTTTCACAAAAATATTGCACTTATGAAAAGATGATGATATACATTTATCTTGGGATACTCCACTCCTCATTAGAAATATTGGGAGAGAAAAAAAACTGTACAGTTAATAAAATCAAAAGATAGTTAAATGTTTTTAAAGATATTACACACACAGCTCAAACATATAAAAATAACTTGTTCTGGTTTGAATCTGTTTATGACATCCTGGTTCAAATATGACAATGTTTAGATGTTTGATTGATGTCAGGTGTTATATCTTAAAAGATTTTTAATTAAAATAAACTTATGTTTTACTCCTAAAAACTGTTAATCTTGTACCTGTACATTACTTCTGTACAAAGATTATCTTTACATAATCTGCATTTTATTATTATTATTATTGCAAAACTGCTTTTAATATAAAATGAATAGATATTTCTTTCCATGAAAATGAAATTGAGAATGTAAATTGCATGATCTTTTTTGAAATAACTTACCTTTTTCACAACCTGAAGTTTGTCTGGCGCATGATCAAACAATGTATCAAAGGCATCTCTCTCTATAAAAGCCATATAAAATGAGTTAATCAGGCTTCTATCACTAATTACTTTTCCTGTATACAGTAAATCAAAATACAGTACTTACCTACTCTCATGCCTAGATCACTGAAAATAAAAAAAATTTTTAAGTGGAAGTTTTCAAAATACAAATTACAAAAGATTACTACTATGACCAATATAGAGTAGAGTAATCTTAATCTCTGTTACAATTGCAGATTTAAAAAAATATATTACATCAAAAATACTTTCTCCTAAATTTATTATTTTTCACTAATAAAGCAATGAAGCATTACTATAAATATCAGTGAAAATATTAAAGTTCAGAATTAATTCAAATGTAGAATTAACCAAGGCTGTGAATCTGGAGTCGTGAAGTTTTGGTGTTTTAGTCAGTCATCAAAAATCCCCCCACTCCCTCCTTTGTACTTTCCCAACTTGTTATATATATAAGAAACGAAAAAGTATTTGAATCGTGTCACATTTGACCCTGAATTTTTTGCAAATTTATAAATTTGAACATCTCTAGAACCCAAAAAATGTCAAAGAAAGGTAAAAGTTCGCGCACACGAGCATGTTGGTTTAATTTCTTTATTCTATTCTGAAATATTAAACAATATCTCATAATAAGTAAAGTTTAAGAAACAAAATTTTGCACAGTAGCATGTGTATAAAAGGCATTAATGCTATTAAATTTTGGTTCTTAATTAAAGGTCGACAGGGTAAACATAGAAGGGGTCATGTGTCATATCTCCAGTGTGGTCGGACTTAATATTTTACTCATTATCAGCATTCACAATCTTATAATATAATCGAGATAGGTTAATAATATCATCAATAATAATAATAATAATGTCAGAGTTCAAACGGTTAAAAGTTGAAAGTTGAAATTTGGTATACAATTAGGACAAGTCATAAGATTGCACACTAAGAAGGGATTTTTCGAAATTCCTCTCGTGGGGGAGAGGGAGAGGTTAATGCTTACCCTGAAGACTCATCTTCTACTGTACTATTTTAGATGCGGTTTTTTGCGTTTTGCGAAAAATCGAACATACTTTTCGACCCATCTAAAATTCTCTGATTAGTCTTGCAAGAGGGAGGACCAAATTCTTGCACCCAGTGAAAACGAGTAAGATCTGCTATAATCTAATAATCTTAATCTTCATTATCGTTATTTTTTGCCTGGGCAACATCTGGCTCATCTGCTAGGTTTTTTTTTTTTTTTATCTTTTTATAAAACTCGTCTCTACCCTCAAAATTAAGCTTGAGTTCTAATATGAGTACCGACAGAAAAGGAAATCTTATAAAATTAGATGATGATATTTACTATGCACTTGAAAAATAAATCATATTGACCACTCTTCAAGTTTGGATGTTAAAACGGCAATACTGCACTATCCAGACATTATCCAAGATACAGAATTGATTGTCACAGCATTGCCATCAATCAAGTTTCAGTATAGCATTTATTTTCCGCTCTTAAAATTATTAAATATGATTTAAGAGCTTCAGTGATTGCTGACTTAATAGAAGTGATTTTTTTGTAAGGAGTAATTCAGTTTATAACAGATGAATAATAATAAATTAATCAACATGGCAAAATAAGCAACCTTTTTCTTTACCAGTCTAAATGTTATATTTCGCATTCTTGACTAAGTTTAATGTATCTGTATATTTATATATTACCCAATATACTCGTATATTATGTACAACATTTTAATTTAACTAATTTGTTTATATACAAATGTATTTACTATTTTTATTCATACATGCTTACCAAATACCAATGCCATCTCAAACAAGTTGATAATTGTGAATTTATATATTCAGTAGATGTGTCAAATTTTAATGTTTAATTAGTTTTTTAGAATCGTTTTATTTTGTATTTTTAAAAAATAATCAGAATCGTCGTCATTATTACTTTCCCGGCAGTTATACAGTATAGGCCTATAACAAAAGAAAAGAATAACGGTCAGTCAAAATATGACTTTCTCAGATATTTACTCTTTTGGACTCCGGAAGCCTTGAAACGTGGAGAAGTGCAAAAGCATTCGTGTTTTTCTGTACGCACGGATGTTAGAATATGTACAAACCAAATTAGTTCAACAATTTTGAAGCTTAATAACTCCTCTGTTAAACCATCCGACTTCGATTCAAAATCATACCTCCCATACAGTCTAACATTCATACATAAAAAAAAACCTGAATCTTTTGCATATCTCAACATTGAGGTGTCCCGTGTCCAAAAATGCAAAAATTTGGGGTTGGTATATTTTGACCGATCGCTACACTTTTCCTCTGTTATACACAGCCGGAAAAGTAAAAATTATCGAATACATATTTATATATTGAATAAGTCATTACTTAGAGTAGTATTTTAGCTTTGAAATAAAAAAGTTTCTACGTTCTATCTTTATTAGAACTATATTTATTGAAGCTTATATTCTGAGGTCACGTGATGACGTCAGAATTTTCAGGCCTACTTTGTTAACAAGTCTGCCCCTGATCGGAGTCGAATGGTAAGAAAACGTTGGAGTTGTGTAAAAATCTACTGACTCCACAGCCCTGGAATAAACTTACCTATCTATTTTAGAAAATAGAAATTAAAAATATTCTAAATTAGAACCTCTTAATTGTTCATTACAAATAAATTTGAAGTAACAAAATTAAATAAAAAATTAAGATAGTTAAGTTCTACTGTATTTATTTCTAAGTTTTTCAAAGGACCAATTTAAGAAACTTTTTCAGCAAAACTGAAAATGCTGTTTGTTTAATAAATATGGATTATTGAAAAACAATGTTCCACTATATTACAGTGAATTAAAACTTAGTTTTTATTTATTTATATATTTATCTAGTGTAGCCTGTTTTGATAGTTTTGCTGTGTAAAATACATATATACATATATATATATATACACACATATATACATACATATATACATACATATATAATATATATATATATATATAATTTCCATAACAAAACCACAGATCTACAAATACAGTATTAAAATTTCTTGAAGACTTACAGTATCACCTACACATTGATACTGCTTGTCAGAACTTGTGGTTTGTTATAAGCATTCTTGCCAGATAACAGTTTAAGAAAATTGTAAAATCTGTATTCAAAGTAGCTCAAAGTGACACAATGACATGAAATTTTGTGAGTTTTCCAATAAGATTTTGTTTTTTTGTATGCAATTAATTCTAAAAATTTTCTGATTATGGACAATAATTTCTAAGTGGAAAATTTTCTTAAATGGGAACAATTTGTGGGAAAAATTTATAACTATCTTATAGAGGGAAAAAGTGACACTTGAAATTAAACTTCTTACATAGGAAATCTAATGCAAGACCTTAACTGAGTTCTACTGTAATGTATAAGCACTTAAACACTAAACAATAATATATACTAATATATATATAACTATACTAATATATATATTAATATACTAATTCAATAGAAAGTAAAAATAGTAATTAAACAAATAAGCAAACAACATTGTATAATCATAATCAAAATAAGAAAACAACATATTTTCCAGCTTTCATTTAAAAGTCATGCTCAACTACTTTCAGAAAAAAATTAGGAAAGGTTAAGCATGCATGAAAAGTGAGTTACTAATTTTTTCTTTTCATTAATTACTTTTTCTACAACATTTGGTTTTTTACTATTTCATAATTTCATTCTATAGACTTTTCACTTCATTAAGTAATTTTGATATATTAAACCTTGATTATATAACTCCTGATCCTGATTAATGAAGATTCTGTATTATCTGTCATTATCCAATACATTATTTTTCATATAGTGTAATTCCCAAAAATGTTTAAAATGATAAAAGGTAACAAACAAATTGGGTTATCAAGTTATCATTTAATATCAATGTGAGATAACCATTTATACTAAAATGTAACTACAACAGTATTGAAAACAGTGCTTTTGATGTTACCTATGTTTAATAAAAGAAATGCTCACGCAAGTACTTTTGACATTTTAAAAATGTCTATCAAACAAGAAACAAAAGAACATAAAATTTAAAATTTTATACTAATATTCTAGCTTAACTCATTCTAGTTGGATTAGGCCCGAATTTTCTAAACCACCTTGTGATGCAGAGACAGATACAAAATATGGACTACAAGGGCTTATGAAAATGACATTTTCCTTTCTTGTATATAAAGCAGTGGGGGAGAAAGTGATCTACGTATAAGGACATTGATGTATTTGAACTTTGCATCTGGGTATCATATATTATGAACCGCTGTGGCAACAACCTACAATTCCTTATGTACCAACATTTGCAAGGAGGAAAATAAGTATGTTCTATGAACAAGTGCATTATTTACATATTTAAGGGGTTGGTAGGAAGTGATAGGCATGATAAGAAGACATAGTTCTAACTTGTGATGTACAGTATACCATAATAAAGCCCAGTAGGCAACCTATTTATTAAAAGATCTAGAAAATTTATCTTGGAATCTTTCTCACTCTGTATCATGAAGTTAATTGAAGCATATACCTTGAATAAAAGCTGTACAAATTATGGCTGTCAATAACAAAGCATTGTCATCATATTGAATGTATAATAGCTGATAACGTGTTACAAGGGATGTAGAAAATATTATAAACTCAATGTTTCAAATGATTAGTTCAGCTAGAACTGCTGAAAGGGGCGAGTCCAATGATACTCCTTGCTTCTGAAGGTAGATTTTCTTATTAAAGCAACAATAATTCTGTTTCATTACAATTGAAAGGGCCTCAATTATTTCCAATACCTGTTGCATAGAAAATTATATACTGGCATTCTAAAATATGTTCTTTCATTTTTCAGCTGGCAAAGACATTTTTGTAAATGTCAAAAGTTCTTGCATGAGCATTTATTTTCATCATCATCACAGGAAACACCAAAAAGACAGTTTTCAGTACTATTTACTTGATGAACATTTCAATATGGTAAAACAATTCTCTTTTTCACAGAAAGTAACTACAGTAAAACACATTCTTATTGTATGTATTAGCTATATGTATAATGATGTAAAATTTGTTGTTTTTGTATACATTAAATTCACTAAGATATAAAGAGATTTAAAACTGATATACCA